TATTCTACATATTTACTTTCATGTATAGCTTTTATTAGAATTTAGTTTGTGATTATAAATTAGTTTTAATATTAATTAAATATTAGTATCATAGGCCTTCACAGTTGAAGAGCCACACCTTTTATGTGGATATACTGTGAATAAACCGTTATTATTGTTATCATTATTATAAATAAATAATTTCCGTTTAAAGAAAGAAGCTATCAGACGTTTGAAGAGTTTCTAAAAATACATGAGTTATTTTGCAAATTAAATTTATTCTCAGCAAATCATTGTGCAAACTCTGCGGAGAAATACCGACAGTCGTTTTGTTTGGAGAGCAGAAAGTTTACTTACAGGGCCTAAGTGACTTCATTGAAAAATTATTAATTTAGAGGCTTCTTCCATGAATTATTCCTTTAGAGGCTTCTTCCATGAATAAATATTTACCAATGGTGAAACAAAAGAATAAATCTTAATGAATTTCAAATGACCCACCTCATCTACCACATTCAGCAATTCATCATTGACCTGATCACAAGGTGCTGCCACTACACACACTGGTTTTGACTTTAAGATTCTTCGGTGAAGTTCTTTTGGACCAACATTTGTCGGCATTATTAAGAATACACCGCCTAAAAATGCATGTAAAAAGCATTAAACTTGTTACGTTAGGGCCAAGCTTTGAAAAACTGATGCACTTCAATTTCTTTTTTTGTGTTTGTGTAATCCAAAAAGGGTAACTTAAACAATCTTTGGTTATGTCTATCATTGAGCTGAGAATCTCCTTATAAAACCTCTTTCAATAGAATGCTGGAGATAATCCCTCTACTTTTCGTTTTTCAGCTTTGTGTCCCTCTTCATCCTAAAATATTAATCGTATCGGGTCCCCATCAATGTTCTTTAAAGTATCCATCTTTGAAGAAAAAGATATTTTTTACCTGTTCTCAAACAAGCCGCCTGTATCAGCCAATATTCTGGAATTGCTGGTAATATCACCATCACACGATCTCCAGGTTTGATGTCAGCCGCCGTAGACAGAACATTAGCAGCTCTCAAATCAAGAGGAAACAATTCATCGGTTTCAGAGTTAATCAGAACTATAACAAAATTCTCGAATGTTATTGGTTATCACCAGCCCGAGCTGAGCTCCAATAGGACAGTGTGCTCGTCATGCTTGTAATCATACTATGTATTCACTGATTGAGTGGGAGAGCCGGTCGGGAAAATATTTGGCTCGAGCATAGGTAATGGGCTCCTGGCTCGAGGTAATGACGTACGGACCGAGCACAGCAAGGTCTGTGCCTCATGACCGACAGCCAAATATTTTCCGGCCCGACCAAAGTAGGTCAATAAGCATCTTATTATATGACCACCAGGTGTTGAAAATTTAAACCTAAACAGGACGCGATAGACTGCACACGCAGCCAAACGAGCACAAAAAAAATATGTCATTAGAACTTTTTCTTTATTTTTTTAAAGTCGGAACAACAAACTCCCGATTCCTTGAAAAACGCGAGTTTTCGTTTTCTCTTTTCCTTAAAGCTTTTTCAACAAAGCGACATCAGGGCCACAAGGCCGGACGACTTTTTCCGGACCGGCTCACGTCAACCTGTCCAGCCCTGCTCACGTCAGCTTTCACAATGGTCTCAAGGGGATTGCGCAAGCAGGACCGGACTGGTCATATGATGAGAGTGATTAACAAAATCGGACAACCGCAAAGCAGGGGTCCGATTAGTCAATTATAAGTAGGCAAGAGTTCAAACTTTAATATAAACGTCGGCCTCTTAATTGATATTTTTGACGGATATCTATTTTGCTTTAAATCAAGGTGAGTGAGTGGGTCACTCTGATTTTGCAAACAAAAGATGTGAAAAGGGATTACTTAATTTTTACGTCTTCCTTGTTATATTTTCGCTGTGTATTTGGTTCAAAACACCCTCGCCATTTCGGCTCAAAATCAATTAGGCGCAAAATTTCAGCAGAGATAGTGATGGATGAAGAAGACAAAGCGCAGGAGATTTTATGATCTCTCATGATCTCCATTGAACCACGCACATATTTGACAAAATTGATGAAAATCTAACGACAACTCTTATCTCCGTGCTTTATGCCAAGACGTTTTCTATCCAATAACAACTATGGATGGTGTCTCAGCTCCCTTGAAAGTATTTACAAGTCTTTGCGAAGACTCTGGTGGCTCTTTGTAGATTGCATTGAAAGGGATGTATCTTACTTTTTAGAGTTTACAGCAACATCTTCAAAAGTCCACTTAACCTCGTTTCCAACACCATCAATCCACCACAGAGCTGGATGTTCACTTTGTCTTTTGCCCTCCTATTAAAACATGAAGAATACCCAAATTCTAGAGGATAGTATCGTGTAGGTAACCAGCCGCTATTTGCGAAATGAGCCCAAAACAGAACGTTGTCTGGACTCGAGAGAGAGAGAGAGGCCGAAATCGAACCTATAGAAACCAGAAACATACATGTACCTATATCTAAACAGGTTGGAGAAACTTTGTATGGTTGACCAACAATTGCACATTATCTTCAATTTCCATAATTCTCTCAATGACGGCAGGAGAAGCCGATTCACGGTGGCGAGTCAAAATCAAATTAACAAATATTGTTATCATAGCTATTATTATTATCATTAATAGCAGTATAGTCATTATCGCTATTTTTTATCTCATTTATCATCAATTTTTCTTTCATTCGGTGTATTGACAGGAAATCTTTGTTCGTGAAGATTTACAAGAAAAATTGTTTCAACGAAAACTGTTTCAAAAATATTGTTTTTGTCAACTTGCCTTGTTCCGATATATTTGCTTTGTTCAACAGAAGGATAAAAAGTTGTTTTTTTTTTTATTCCAATTATTTACTACTCAGATGCGAAAAATATTGCAATAAAACGATGGCAAACTCTGGTTAATGTAAGATTTCCGCGAGCATTTATTCTGAGTATGACGGTTGACAAAGTTATCGCCTCTGCAAGCATTACTATTTACCTCTTCTTTTGGCGCCCACTCGTCTATAACGTCAGCAAAGTTGAAATAATCTGGAACACGAAAATCTTCTGTTCCCCTAATCATCAGGTCAGACATTGCACCGTCAGCTTTGAGCACACTGCCTGTTTGAAAGATACAATTCATACAACTGTAAACGTTGGTTTTAAGTTGAAACTAGATGCTCGAGGAGCGTTCACTCGGGCTTCTTTGATAGCCATGGCATTCACACCAAACACGAGTACAATACTATAACATAGCTTGTAAATTCGTGCAATCAAATTCAATTGCGCGAGCGTGGCTTCAGCATTTTTCATCGAAAAACGGGAAAAACTTCCGCAAAAAAGTTAAACTAGACATGGCAACAAGCGAACAAGCCGATGAAGGTCTGCCTACTTTTTCTTTGGGAATGAATTTTTTAACTCCCTAGAAAGTATCCAGAGAAAGGGAAAGCAAAACAGTCAACGGTTTCACCTCGTTTCGCAACTCTAACTTATTTCCACGCATGGATTCACCTGTCAGTTTTTGACCATTCTGAGACAAGATCATTGAAGCATAGCAAACTGCTTTTCCGAAACAAAATAAACAACGCATTGAAGCGTAAGGAGGAGAGCCAAATTCTGCCCTTTATACATAAATTACAGCGTTGAAAATGTTATAAAACAATTGGTTTCTGTGTCAGCTGTGCGTTCATCGAGACTTGAAGCACTTGGGAAGTTTGGAGAGCAGTAATGAAGCAAGAGTTGCTCGAGGCTGCGCCTCGAGCAACTCTTAGGCCTCTTAGGCATCTTTCGTGCTCTCCAAACTTCCTGAGTGCTTCAAGTCTCGATGAACGCACGCTAACCCATGAACCAATTGTTAATAGTGATTATGTACGAAATACCAAATCGTACTTTACAACTATTGAACCCAATAAAACCCAGTAACTGAATCAGGATATTTAACGGAAGAGCTAAGCGTATGTATTCAACCTTACTATTTAAGTTGCTTCTGTCAGTATCCTTATCCAATTCGCTGTTGTTAGCGCCTCCTTCGAGGTTATGTTCACGAACATTCTTCATTTTTTCAGCAAGTGAGGTGTTGTCTCAGCATCATAGTTTGTTGTTAAATCGGCTGTCACAGTTTTGCAAATATTTTCGAAGTTTGAACTCATATATGGCTCATTTGTTATCTCGTGAGAACTAGTATGAACTTTCCACATTTGGCTAGCTTTCAAGCAATGAAGTTCGTGGACCGGCCCATTCCGAAAACACTCGACAACATTTAGCGTGGTCCTAACCACGAACGGCGTGTGCGTTTGCATGTGGGATAAGCTTATAAGACAGGAATCTTTGCAAAGCGGTTTCACAAAACACAGCATTCTGTAAATTACGAGAGCGAGCTCAAGTTACAATTTGTCGCACTCTCATCTATGGTGGCCGAGAACTGCCTTTAAAAATATTCATATCTATAGAAATTATTTTTGTAATTTTTTTTCATTTCGATTTACTTCTCATTTTTCTTTTTAAAATAAAAGCAAGTGAAAGTAAAATGTAAAATAGAAATAAAATGAAACCAAAGATAGATGAAATCAAATCAAAATTAAATACTACCCGGCCGAGCGCTGCCACTA